GGGGGGAAATGGGGTGCATTAGATAGAGCTCATCGAGCTCTACTTGGAACCAGTGTGATCTTAGTTGGAACCGGTCCTGGAGCGAATCGTAATGGGAAATACTCGAATCCTGACCTAAGATATCCTACGTTAAAAAGCACGGGATCAAATAAATAGAGAGACACTTCTTGAAAGTATGAGTGAACTAAAGATTAACACTCACATCTACAGACACTTGTAGCGGATACTCTATACAGTACATAAAGTTTACTCTGATATTGTCATTGAGAGAAGGGTCATAAACTCAAGAAAAAAGTACTGGTGTAGCATGTGAACAACTCCTTACGATGTGTGCTTCTTAAAGCTTGATCTGTGCATTTTATCTTTGAGGCCTTGAGCCTCAAAAAAATTACTCACTAGAATCTAATTGTATTTAATCACTCATAACAATGAAAAATACGTTATTGTGTAGTAACATGTTGTTGGAATGCTACTTTCAATCATTGATGTTGATGAGCAGTACTAAATATTTACAATTTATGATTTTGAATATTATCTAGATACCTTTGAATACTTCTTCTAAAACAATCTTTAAGTGTTGAAAGAATCAATGTTTAGTGTAAGACAGTATTTGTCATAAATTTTAGACCATAGAAGTTGATTACATTATTTTTAATATTTTTTGTTCAATTTAATGTATTTATAAATAAACTTTGAAGATTTCTTATGTGAACATAGTTGGATAGAGTATTAATGACTCTATCAAACCATATATTTTTCATTGGGTTTATTCTTCATCTTTACTATTAATTTGTTTGATTTTCTGAAAAGTCTATTAGTGAACTTTTTTTTATAGACTATAATATGTTTTTCTTCAAGCATATTCTAGGTACTAAAGCATGTAAATTTTTTTCATTTACATATGACTGGATAAAGTCTGGATTTCTATATCGATTTAGCAAGTTTCTGTCAGATCTTACATATAAAACTTTACGAAAAGTAAATAATACTTGGTTTTGCATAAGTACAAAAAAGACGTTCTACTTTGATGGAGCTCTTTCGTCTAAAGCAGTTTTCATGATTAACGAATTTAATTTCAATGAAATATGAGCGTGCAAAAGCTTCATTTCACCGTTTCTCGAAGTTTATCAAATTTTCGGACAAGATGCAAAACAAATCAAGTGGAAACTTTATGATTCGATAGAGCCATTGATGCTCTATCTAACTAAATCAAAATAACAAATATCCGACGTTTTATACAGATACAGGAAATTGAACATCACTGTCCAAAATAACATATTCAAGCTGTATATAAACCGTACCAATTTTCAATAAAATTTGTGATATTTTTCACGCGTTCCAATCAAACATAGTATATATATATATATTGCCATGATTAAGCTAAAATGAGGTCATATAAAAGAATAGAGAAACGTGGTATAGTGTTTGTTCATATATTTAAGAATGGAAACTGCACTATTCATTTTGATTAATTGTTGTCGAATAAAGACATTGAAACTTGGTGAAAAATGAAATATATATGCTAGATATTTAAATTGTTTAACTTGTACTGTTTGTATGCAAATTGAAAAGTGAATTCATCCTGAGTGTTCTAACACATGATTAATAGATTACAAATTCACGGTTTTCTCAATTATTAGACTGATACCATATTCATGATATAATTTAAAAGATAATGCATTTCTTTGTTGATTTTTCTTTCTAAGTTAATGAGTTGTTGTTGATAAGACATAAATGTTAAAAATATATTTAGTAGTATTTCTAAGTTATTGACAGAAGGTGGCAATTCTCAAGTTGGTCAAAAATATTTGGAAAATGATAGTGATAAACAATAAAAGCTATGCTTGTGAAACAAATGCTCTATGGTAGTACTTCTGATTAAACATTAATATGTTCAAATAAACGTCCGTCTAAGTGCCGACTTCTGATTGTCATCTAAATCTAAGAATGAGACTTATTATGTTTAGTTTATATTCAGGTTTGATAGTCTTTATTATGCGTGCAAGTCTAGATTTCTATCTAAGAAAACTCATACTCTATAATGTATACGCAGTATATTTTGCTGATGGAATGATGAACATTGTTTTTCCGGAAATCATCCGGTGTGTTCTTGAAGCAAAAATGATCAATGAGAACTTTCTTCATTTGATGGAATTCTCTTGTTATTTTCTACTTCTTTCATCTGTTCTC